ACCTACAAGCTGAAGGTGGGGGGTCACCCTGTGCCTCGGGGTGGTCTCCAGGCTGATGTGCCTGCCCTCTGGGGGGTGTTTTGGGGGGAAACACCACCCCAAATGCCTCCCCCCTTGAGGAGACCCCGGGCAGGGAGGCTCTGACTGGTTTTCCTCCCCTGCTCCCAGCCAGGGACCATGATTGAATGGGGCAACAACTGGTAAGAGACTGGTTTCCCAGCACTGGTTTCCCAGCTTTTCCAAGGTGGGAAAAGGCCCCTCTGGAGCAGGGTGGACCCCTGGGCAGCCCCCCCAGTGTGTCCTGCTCCGTGCCAGGGCTCGGGCCATCAAGTACCGGCAGGAGAACCAGGAGGCAGTCGGGGGGTTCTTCTCCCAGATCGGGGAGCTCTACGTGGTCCATCACCTCTGGGGGAAGGGGGGGACACCTGGGGGGTGGGGGACGGGCTGGGGGGCTCGGGGTGCCAGTGCCACCCTGTCCCTGCAGCCTACAAGGATCTGCAGTCCCGGGAGGAGACGAGGAACGCAGCCTGGAGGAAGAGGGGCTGGGATGAGAACGTGTATTACACGGGTCAGTGGGACCCCCACCCTGCTCTGGGGACCCCCTGCACGTGCTGGAGACCCCCACCTTGCTTTGGGGACCCCCTTTCCCTGCTGGGCACCCCCACCCAGCTTGGGACCCCTTGCCTGTGCTGGAGACCCCACTGAGCTTTGGGGACCCCCTGCCCTTGCTGGGAACCCCACCTTGCTTTGGGGCCCCCAACCCTGCTTTGGGGACCTCCTGCCTGCTCTGGGGACACCCACCCTACTGTGGAGACCCCACCCTGCTCTGGGGACCCCCTGCCCCTTCTGGGGACCCCCACCCGGCTTTGGGGACCCCCACCCTGCTCTGGGGCCCCCCTGCCCTCATCTCTCTCCTGTTCCCTCCCCAGTCCCGCTGATCCGGACCATGGAATCCCGGATAATGATCCCGCTGAAGATCTCCCCCCTGCAGTGACGGGGGGGCCGTGCCTGAGGGTCTCCCTGCACCCCGAGGGGCTCCCTGCCTGTGCCCCCACCCTGCTGGGGAAGGGCTGGGGGGGCCTCTGCACTCCCTCAGCTCCCTGCTGTCCCCCCCTCCCCGTTTTGGGGTGCCCTGTGGGGGCTGAGAGCAGGGAAGGGACAGTGGGGGCCCCCCATCCTGTGGTGGGTGCCCAGGATGGCACTGCCAGGGGGGCTGGGCAGGCTGCAGAGGTGGGGGGGGCTTAATTGCCCCTGGTGGGCCCAGTGGGTGCCTTTGCTGCCAATTAAATATTTAATATGCCAAAGCCTGGGCCCCTCTTGGGGTGGGGATAGGGGGGTGCTAGGAGTGCTGCGTCCCCCCTGGCATGGGGGGTGACCCCCAGCCTGGTCTCAGCCAGGGGGCTGCCCTGCCCTGTGCCAGACCCCCACCCGTGGGTGCCACGACACACTGACGACCCCCCAAAGGCCCTGTGTGCCCCCAGTGCCACTGGGAACCCCCTCCCACACCCATGGATACTCCCAAGTGCTACTGGGAACCTCATCCCACACCCATAGATAACCCCAATGCCACTGGAGACCTCATTCCAAGCCCATGGATACTCCCAGGTTTCTCTGGGGACCTCGTTCTGTGCCCCTCCCAACCCCATGGATACCCCCAGTGCCACTGGGGACCCCCTCCTGTGCCCTTCCCAACCCCATGGATACCCCCCATTGCCTCTGGGGATCCCATCCCATGCCCCCCCAAGCCCATGGATGCATCCAGGACCCCTGGGAGCCCCATCCCACACCCACAGATACCCTCAGTGCCATCAGGGACCCCTTCCCATACCCCCAGTGTTATTGGGACCCCATTCCAAGCCCCAAACCCATGGATCCCCCCAGCACCACAGGGGACCCCATCCTGTGCCCCTCCAGCCCCATCAGGGATCCCATCCCAAGCCCATGGATACCCCCAGTGTCTCTGGAGACCCCATCTCAAGCACCCCCCA